AAACTGATGATTTGTCAAAGCATAAAGGACTATTTGTGTTAAAAGTTCATTTTCAAATAAATGCCTAAATTCAAATAAAGAACCCACATTCCTACAGATTTAAACTAGAAAAACGAGAAGCGAAAAAGAATGAGAAATGACTAATAGAGGAATACCAAATGAGAGCAAATTTAACCGTGAATGATCAATGGGAGTTGAAAACAAAAAACCCTGAATGTTCAAATCGACTCTAATACCAAGTTGAAAATCGAAGTACGCATAATGAACAAACGAACGAATAGACGAATGAATAGACTACACAATCATGAATAATACTTAATTAATTGAAAAGAAAGAGAACACTATAAATTCTCTAAGATAACTTCATAACCCAAAAAACTACATTATAATTAACTTATTCAACTAAATTACAGACCATCTTCTGAATTAACCATAATCCCTAATAGGCAAAGAATCCAAATACTTAACCTACAAGAAAACCTTATTATTTAAAATACCAAAAAACCTCAAACAATAAAATAAGGAAAGTGTATTTGGCACTCCACAAATCAGATTTTTGGAGTTCTAATAACAATTCCCTAAAATAAACCTAAAATATTAATATTTTCCGACACTATCATGTAAGCCTATAAACAGAGCTTCTCATGCTTAGTTATCCGTTAATCTAAGTAAACAGTTGGATTATGATTACGGAGCACTCATGGTGTTGATCAATTATATGAGAATGAGACCACAAGTAGGGTCACAATAATTCAACTTTATATTTTCTTTGGGGGTAATGTTAGGAAGATCAAATTTGTAAACCAAATGATGTGAAAGTTGGTGATTGAATTATTACTTAAGTGTTGATTAATGTGCTTATTTCCAATAGGTGACACATATTTGATTTGCAAAATTGATTTAAAATTTTGGTATCCCCAGTATTATCCTTTGGAGAAATTTGTTTTTTGGGTGAGAGGTAGTATTTTAATTCCTAGAGAACCAACTCACATGAATCCATTTTCTACCCATTATATGCTCTCTATTTCTATTTTCCAAGCTCGTCCATTAACTATTATACATATTAACTTATTTAGAGCAAAGACATTTTAGGTCAAATTTATTTTTAGTTTATGTTAGGTGAATTACTGAACAACTTATATAAAATTATGAAGATTCATATTTAATTCCAGATATTTTAGTAAATAACTTCAATTAAAATATGAATTACGAATCTTCCCAATCAAATTCCTCTCCATTTTAAGTCACCTCCACTTCAATCAGCCTCACCCGATTACAAATAGTACCATGCCATTTTTGTTTTGTTGAACAAACCCCTATGGGGTCGAGGTAGGGTGGGGAGGGCAAGACTGGACTTAACCTTACAATAGGCTAACAATAATGTGATTCAAATTTACTTTTGGCTAGAATCAAACCTAAAACCTCTCACATACAAGTGAAGAGGAATACCTAGACCGTAGTACCAAGTCGTAAATGAAAGTTGTATGATCTTTATATACCATTGCCCATTGGTGGGAAAACCATTTTCCCCTTTTTAAACCAGAAATGGACTCAAGTTGGTACCATAAGATGAGCCATTGGGCCTTTCACTAGATAGATTTCATAAGCTTAGTAGGCTTGGACTCAAGAACAGTTTTTATAAACGTGTTTCCTTAGCCCAATCACAAAACCCATTAATATTAATTGGGAATAATATTAGTAGGATATAGATTAGGAAGTTGATCCTGCACTCTGAAAACCTATATATCTGTCACTTAGTACTACGTTTTAGTTGTATTCTTCTTTACTTGTAAGTGAGAGGTCTTAGATTTGATTCTCGCCAAAGACGAATTTGAACCACATTATTACTAAGCCATTGTGAGGCTAAACCCCACCACCTTCCCTTTAGTATAGTAATACGTTTGTTCAAAAAAAAAAAAAAAAAAAACCTATACGTCATTCCTTTTAATCGTTAAATTTGAGAATTTTTTTTTTTGTGTACCAAGTATTGTTCACAATAACATTAACCACAAAAGCGTACTTGATTGCTAGAAATTAAGAGCATATACGGATCTATAATAGCTTTATTTGTGAAATCTCTTGGCATTAGCTCGTTAGGAAATTATCATATCTAATGAGGGATTTGGAGTGAATCGGGTTTTCACCATAATTTTTGTGAGAACTTAACAACCTAAATTGAAAAGCCTAGCCTTCAAGGTGGTGATGTTAAACTCAAATGGGGAGTGTTAGGAAGTAGGAAACAAATTTCCACGTCCATGTTTGTGAATACCGTCGATGCATGTAGATTTCACAATATAATATATTAGCAGTGGACAATCGCTCACCCAGTCGTGGACGACCAACCTAGAGTTATCCAACCTTTTTACACATACCTTCCATCCTAGAGTTATCCAAACTTTTTACACATACCTACCTAGTTGATGTTGCCAGTCAGTCATCATTTGGCACTCACAAAGTGGCAGGTAAGCAGGTCACAGCCACTAAATAAAATACGGGACCAAACCAACCCAAACTAAACCAAGAGCAAGTTGCACTCAGCTAGCACGCACAAAAAACAAACTTGTCAATTATTATCATAACATTTTGACAAGGTTCTCCATATATTGCATTTCTCAAAGTGCAATATAGCGACTACTGGATTCCGATGACTAAGTAACCTAATTGGGTGGTGTGTGGTCACATGCATTAAGATTTCCAAGTTCTTTTCAAGCCAGATCGAACACTTCTAGCAGAAGCAACAAGTTCTAATATTTTCTTTGACTAAAAGAGAGGTGGAAACTAAGCTTTCATTACATTCTGGCTGGATATATGCGTGAGGATGGGGGCCATGTCTTTTAACACACAATTTCTTAGTGCCTAACTTGATAATGTATTCCAACGATATTACGGTTTTTTCAAGTTTAGCTCTACAAAAAATTATCAAAATTCGAAACCATATATGATTGTTAGATTTAATAGTAGTCATTTAGCAAAATGTATGTCTTGATTTTCTTCATTATAACTAAATGTCTTAATCATTTTGAATTGTCTCCTTTTTTTTCTTGGAATAATTTTTGATTGATAGGTTAAAAGATAGACGAGATTCTTCAAAAATTAAAATCACAAAAAACGTATTAAAAAATATGTGAAAAGCTAGTCATAATCCTCTAGCCCCTTATATATATGTATGTATTATAATGTATGTAAGTGCCATATTAAAAAATTGGAGGATAAACCTGAACTAGTACTTGAAAGAATCATTTTGTACTTTGACTTTAACAAAGACAAAAAATAAAAAGAGTATCGAATCCTATGGCAAATTGCAACTGAGTTTTCAAATATATATATGTGCGTGCCGGTTTGATACTTAATAGTAGTCAAATCCCAATTAGTACAATGTAAGGGGGTTGAAATATACTGGCATAAAGATGAAGGGCCAGCTTCTTGATTGCTTTATGCATGCGCTACCATATAATTAAGTGGAATAATATGTGGCATATAATTAAGTGGAATAATATGTGGCAGTATTTTTGTGAAATTTGAACTTGTATAACCTTGTTCTACACTTAATTTCAACTTTAAATATAAATTATCTTTTTTTATTCTATTGCACAATTACTATCAAGTACAAGATGAAATTAATAGTAAAACTAAAATTTATCAATAAACCTATACCAATAATCAAACTCTACAATCACGCAATCTTTATCATATGTTCGTTCTGACTAAAACTCTAAGATGCTTCCAAAAAGAAAAACAAACTCTCTTTGACCGATAGATTGTGATATTGAATCCTCTAACTAAGGTATGAATCGATTCATGTAAGTTCCGTTTGATTTCAATTTTTTAGGATTTAGGAACAAGAATTTGGTGATTTTGGAGTTTATTATATTTGTGTACCCTCTTTCTACTTGATGTTTGAATAAAATATTTTAAGTTCACAAGGCCTTAACGAACTTGAAGGTTGTAAGTTTTATTCGTTCAGATAGCTAACAAAGCCGAAAACATCAAAGTTTAGGTGGTAAATTTTGATTTAAAGAGATAGATATCGTTTAATTAATCATAATATAGATACAGAGAATAAGTTTTGTATTAAAAAACGTTAAATAGTTCAAATAAAACTTCCTACCATAACAACATTTTGGCCAAATGATTAAACATTTGGATAATTCTCATTTTGCTTTGATGCATAAGCTGAGAGTCTCTCTCCTCAGACTTTCGGATAATACTTGCATCCCCATTAAAACAAGACATATATTCTATTTTTTGTAAATAACGTATTTTTACGATATAAATTCCATAATAAGGTTATTTAATTTCTTAATCTCTATTTGACAATCATCTCTATAAGCAATAATTTAAATAAGAAATCATTTAAGTCATATTATCCAAATTTGTCGCCGCAAGCTTGCAAAGCCCAACATATATGCCAAAAAGCCAAAACCCTTTATTACTTCTAGTGAGTAATGTTAAGTGATCAATTTTCAAACCAAATTTATTATTTAAATGTTGATTAACGTTTTTATTTTTTATTTGTGACATATCATATGATTGATAAATTTGGTTTTAAAAGTTGATCTATCTAGCATTGCTCTTTGTCGCCAATGCCGAACTATCTAGCAACAAGTGGTTGGATATAATGACAACAATCAAGCCTTATCCCACTAAGTGGATCTGCTGTATGAATTCTAGAAGACCATTGTGTTCAATTTTTGCGACTATCTTCCGTTAGCTACAAGTACTACATATCTCTTTAAAGCCTCTTTTCAAGTATTCCTAAGCTTTACTTTATCCCTTTTGCTCTGAGCTTCCGTCTCATAGTTGCTTCTTCTAGCCCGAGAATCTGTAAGTCTTCGATTCACGTGTCCAAACTATCTTAATCAACTTTTTTCTCATTTTATCTTCAATTGTAATCATTCCTACTTTACCTTGGACATTCTTGTTCTTAGTACAAGTAAATGAATAGTTGAAATTTTTTTTTTGACCGCTTGTATTATGACTTGATGTACTAGGCAAGGCATCTTACCGGCATGCTAAACAATTTCTTCGCTCCCATGCTCCATTGCAGTAACTGGGGGCCCTTGAATTGCTTGAGACTCAGTCTGAGAAGAGAGACTCTCAGCTGCCTCCTCTTTCTCTCTCTCAGCTGCCACTTCAACAGTCCACATACACACACCCCTCTGTTTTTCCAGCTCCTCTACCTTTTCTCTCTACTGGGTTTTAGTGGTTTTGCAGAATCTGTAGCAGTGGCCTTTGAGCTATGGCGACTGAAGATGGAACCTTTGCTAAAAACGGTGGCGGCATTTTCACAAACGAAGCTGAGCCTTCAACCTACATGGTATCCCATTTTTTGTTGAAAATTCGTTCATGGGTTGTCCTTATATATTCGTTTTCCTGCTTTCCATTTTCCTCACTTGTTGATTCAATTCATTTGATGATTTTGTCAGATTTTTGTTTGTGAATTATGAAATTTTGACTTCGTATTAGTTTTTTTTCCTTTAATTTCTTCTTCTTTTTTACCTAAACTGGGTTAATGCATGCTTAAACTGCCATTAATCATATTTTCAATCCTAAGTTGGTATCTGTATAACTATGAAATTCAAGTTGAAGCATCCAATTCCTCTTCGAACTAGTCAGGGTTTATGCTGTTATTGTTTTCGTGTTATATTTCTTAATTTTTTGGTAAAAAAGAACTTACCTTTCAGGTTGTTTTCGAAATTCTGTGTTTTCGTGATGTTCTTAACATGGGACAATTCATATCATATGCTCTTTTGTAAATTTGGTTCGATATATATGTCTCCTTTGGTTCCTTATGCCGGTTTTGTCCTCAATGTCGCATATTTATGCAAGTGAAATGAAACCGACTCGTTCTAGTTCCTCAATTTTCACATCTTATGTTGTTGTGCATGATACATGTTCTTGTCTGATATTGGTGTATAAGTAGTAGTTGATCATGTTTGTAGAATGCTTTCTTGTGTTTTGCTGATCCTGGATGATCTTTCTTTTTCCACAGGATGGAGTTTCCACTGAGATAATTGAAGAAGCACCTCCTGGCCATCTGTGGAGACGACAGAACCTCGTCTTACAGATACCTTCAAGAACTCTTGAGGATGCCAAAGAGAATTTTGTGAGAATAAACATGCCCCCAACGCCGAGCCCCACTCCCAAAAGAGTAAATTTCTCCCCATTACCCAGCCCTAGTTTAGCCAAAATCAATGCGTCCCCAGGTCCCTCGTTGTCAAAAACTAAATCGACCACAAAAAGAAGCCTCCTTCCAAGACTAAGTTTCAAAAATTGGAACACTACTTCGGATATTGAGAAGGCTGCCACTCGAGCACTAGGAGGCTTACCTGCAGGGACACATGAGAAGCCTTCAACTCCAAGGGCCTGGTCCTTTGCAACGCTTTTAACTCCCAGGACGAAAACCGCATCATCCTTGCCTGCAACTCCAATTGCTCACTCAAATCTAGAGTCCATGCATGGCAGGAACACAATTGATCTAGTGAGTATATATCACTTGTTAGTTTAACAATAACTGTTTTGTTGAGAAGAATTCAAGTTGACCATAGTTTACGGGAATCTTATAATAACAAAATCTTAAATACAATTTGAAGTCTTGTGCTTTTAATGTGTGTAAGTTTATTGTATATGTTTACAGTCATTTGGTTTCCTCAATGTTGCGTGGTCTGGTGGTAGTGCACCGTCTTTGTGATGGGTTCCCTGACTTTCCCCCTTAACTTCTTGTACTGCTTCTACTGAAAATATCAATTAGACCAGAAAGACAACCTTTTCGCCTTGGTTCTTGATGACTTAGAGAATAAATGAAGTTGGTGTTAATAACAGTTGATACAATATAATATTTAGTTTTATAGACTGATTAGCAGCATAAGTTGTCCTTCAGTGCAACACATTTTTTAAGCGGAGGCTAAACATTTCGTCCTATTCTCTCCTCTATCAGTTTGAATCCTACAGTGGGTTGTACTGCCCTTTCATTTTATGATGTTTGAGACGTTTGTTACTTTTAAAATTACTTCCATGAGGTACTTCTCTTAGAACTATTACTTTAAGCCTTGAGCTCTGCATCCAGAGATGGCATTGGAGTGCGTCTACTTGTTGAACGTATTTTGTCAGGAATGAGTTTCTAGCATAGTTTTTTTTTGTCTCAAGTAACCTCACAGATATCTTTGTCTGCTGTTCCACGTGATTCTTTTCATTGTAGAAAGCAGAGGCCCAACGACCTATTTGCCGCTCACGTTCTGTTCCTGCGATTAAGAAAGATGGAAGTATATATGCAGGCAGTGTCATTCGTGTAATTCCAACCACGCCACGAGTGGCTGAGAGGACTGTCACGACTACGTCAAGCACATCCCCAATAAATGTCACTAGTAAGTTCTGCTTCTATTTGTCTGGTGTCCATATCCTCTTCTATTCCTTTGCGAATGCACCTGAGTACCATGTTATGCTAATTGTCTGTATTTTCAGATTCTAGCTACCTTTGACCCTAGTTTTGTAACTTGTGATAACCAACCTATGCCTTATCTTAGTTTCGTGGTTCAGATGGAAGTGATGATGGTGGTGAAGATATTGCTGAAGAAGAAGCTGTTTGTCGAATTTGCTTAGTTGAGCTAGGTGAAGATGCCGACACCCTCAAGATGGAATGCAGCTGTAAAGGCGACCTTGCTCTTGCCCACCAAAAATGTGCTGTAAAATGGTTCAGCATTAAGGGTAATAAAACATGCGATGTGTGCGGAGAAGATGTTCAGAACCTGCCAGTCACACTTTTACGAATTCAAAATTCTCAGGCTGTTAATTTTCGAGCAAGTAGAGCACAGCAGGCTGAGGTTAATCAATATAGGCAAGTCGAAAATTTTCAACTGATATAAAGCTCAGGAAGCGGAAATTTCTGCACTTGCTGTGTCTTTATTGTGCGGGTTTATTTTCTTATTGTGTTCGGTACCACCTCATAGTATGGTATAACTAATAGTTTATGCAAATTTGTCAGGGTTTGGCAGGATGTTCCGATCCTTGCCATAGTTAGCATGCTTGCTTACTTCTGTTTTCTTGAGCAGCTTCTGGTACGTTATGGAACTTCGTTATGCTTTTCTTTTGTAGCCTTTCAAATTCTTAATCAAATCACATAGACAGGTGGGGAAAATGGGATCGCACGCAATCACTCTCTCTCTTCCTTTTTCCTGCATCTTGGGTCTACTGGCATCCATGACATCGTCCACAATGGGTAAGATAACTTTGAAATTCTTTGTTCATGCAAATATTTTGCGTATCATGAATTCAGCGATTTTCCTTTCACTAAAACCAAGAGAACGATCGTTCTGTTATACTGACGTAGAAATTCGTGCACAGTGAGAAGAAGATATGTCTGGAGTTATGCAACTACACAGTTTGCACTGGTCGTCATTGCAGCACATCTACTTTATTCATTGGTAAGAGTTGCTCTAGTAATCAAGTAGTGGTAGGATTTGGCAGGTGAACCTGAGAATGTGATGACCCTACTTAATTTGAGAAAGTTTTCGAAATTTTGGTTACAAATGCTTAGAAAGAAGAACCACTGATCAAAACACCGATGGTCGTGTGAATGCACTTGTTGAATATTCGTGTTTGTATGTTCTTGTCCGGTCCACAGATTCACATGCAGGCAGTTCTGGCTCTTCTCCTCGCCACCTTTTCAGGGTTCGGAATTACAATGTGTGGAAGCTCTATCATTGTTGAGGCTTTGAGATGGAGGGGAAGATGGCGTTCTCGGCAGTCAAATCAACAGCATGGTTCTCAGGAGGTGACACAACCGAATCAATCACCACAGAATACACAACAAACACAAACGAATCCCCGACAGCGGGAAAATGAACCTCAAGGTGCAGAACTTACTCATGGCTCTGCTTCTGTATGCACAAATACCACCGCTGCATGCTAAGGGAAAGTCTGGCTGTAAACTGCCCCAAAATATAGCACATGTTAAGCGTTGTACATAAACTGTTTTGTATACATAGTTTGGCTTGAGAGCCACATTGTTTGGCTCGTCCTTCGTTTACGGTTTCGTGATCAAAATTTTCGTGAAAAAATACCAAACGTATTCCTCTGTTCGTCGCATCAAACATCATATTATTGCTGTAGGTCAGTAAATATATTCTAGCAAAAAGCCGTTTCGTAATTACAAATGGGGGCTTCTCCCTCCCAACCTCTTACTGCCTTCAATGACATTTTTGTCTATACAATAGAATCAGTTGGTTGCATGGCAATGCCAATCAGATTACGCTCACAAAAGTGCTTTTTTCTGGAAAAACCCAACTGGACAACAAGAGAAAAATGCTACACAGGCAAATAGCTAGAACTGTAACCCGATGGAGAAAAAATCGAAAGAAAAAAAGAGAAGATTGTTTAGCTTCGTCTGATGACAGTCTGGTCATTGCTTGCAACTCCAACTGCCAACCTTAACAGAGGACAAAGGCTTCTCCTTTGAGCTGGTACTTAATTCAGCTGAGTTGTTTGATGGGTTTCTGAAACACCGGGTCTCCCCCAAACTTTTATATGCCCCTCTCTGCAGACAGTAAGAACGGATTCTTGGGTAAACATTACGCCAGAGAGGGGTTCAGTGTGTACCCGGTGAGCAACCAGCGGTGAGATTTTTGGAACATCTCGCATGCTTGGAGCAGGCTGCAGGGCACCCACGGGAAGTGCATTGTCCCAGTGAGATGACTGGCTTCCAACACTATATGTGGGGGAGCCACCAGGAGGGCATCGTCGCAATGGCACCACAATCTCATCCATCTCCAGGTCCCACAGAAGCAACTGTGTGTCCTGCAGTCAAACGGAAAGTATAAACAAAAACACTAACAAGAATTATAGAGAAAAGATCATCATCAATCTTACATATTCATTTACAACCAATTGTATTACGGCATTCTTATACATGAGATATCTGATTATGAATGTAAATACATAATTTTTGACATTATAGTTTCTGATACCTGACCGACTGAACCAAACCGGTACATGACAGTTTCCCCCATGCCATCTGAATTTGGTGATGAACAATATGAATCAAAAGCCACTCCACTGACCTGCCAACGTCATCTGGTAAGAACTAAGTAAACCAGCCACAATCAGGTAATTATAATACGCACAATGCTATTTAAGAAACTAACCCAAGAGTTGTGACCCTCTCCCCAAGCTACAACTTTCCGATCTTCCATGCTCCAAACTTGAACTAAATCATCTTCGCCTCCTGTGAGTATGTATTTTCCATCCATGCTGTTGCATTGTAATCAGTCATACTATCATCCTAAAAGTATAAAAATATATTGATGCAGAAAGAGCCAAATACAAAAGAAGTTTAAAATTTATAGGTAATTTACAAGATCAGATTAAAAAACCAGCGATGAGCTTCAATAGTAATGGGGCACACCTCCAAGCGCAACATAAGAGAGCACCATAGTAACTTTTTCCACCGCATATAAGTTGCTCTTTTGAGTAGTCAAAAACACGTAGATAACCTGCATTCAGTAATTAAATTTAGCTTGTATCTAACACAAGGAATAAAAGGATCCTTGAAGAACCAGGACAGCAAAGACCAATTGCACAACGCAAACAATATCGTATTGACATTATACCATCTCTTCCAACAGTTGCTAAATAGGCCCCATCAGTCGAGAAAGCAATACTATTAACATAACCTTGGCCGATATGCCATCTGACAAATGGGTTACTCTGCATACGCATAACAGGAAGTTAATGAAAAAATGGTAGTTGGTGACGGAAACAGAAAAAGAAATTCAGATATACATCTCTTCCTTGTAACTATCTGACATATGTTGATGCAAATGCAGTATTCAGTGACCATAGTGATATTCCAGTATACTGCACATAAGCCTGTAAGATCTCAACCGGCAAACATATAGGGATTTACTAGAGGCTAGACCCCTAAATAGGCTTTGAAGAAATAAATAATACACGATGGACCACCAATTTTATCCTGCTTGGTGTTGCACAAGGGAAATAGGTCTCTTCGACAGACAATAATGAGAACAGAAGCATATTTTCAGCCAATGACCCGATGTATGAATAGAACTTGCATGTGCAGGCAAACTCCTGTCAACCCACCCAATGTATGAACTTCAGTAGCTACTGCTAATATATGGTACAAATACCCCATCTGAACATACTAGAGTTGTTACGTAAATACACATGTGATTGTATAGACACCAAACAGAACTTAAATAATCTGATAGGTTGCGCACGGACAACTTTACATTTGAGAACATTGTAGGTTAAAACAGCCTAGCATATTGAAGGCCAAGTTTCACGAGTCTCAAACAATGCCCATATTAGAATAGGAATCTACACTATCGATTATTAACCAAAACACAGCACCCAAAAAGATTTACACCTAGAATATGATACAAACTGTGATATCGAAAGATAAACAGTCTATTAACTGTCAGAAGTCTTAAATCACCATGGTGACAGAACAGCTGCATGTCATGCCTTATTTAAATTATAGAAAAACTTGCAGAGCCACGTTCAAAAGAAATAACATGGGGAACATAACTCAATACCTTATTGTAACGTGCATGGGAAACTGAAAATTGAGCTGGATCTTTAATAATAGGGAATGCAGAATCACCAGCCCCATCTTTGCTCTAGAAAGAAATAAAGATAAATAAAAATACACTCAAATTACCTAAACACATGGAACATAAAAGCAAAGTTAGGGAAAAGTATTTTCCAATAATAGAGGCTTGCCTTTTCATATACATATAGATTCCCATCGGCATGAGCAACAACAAAAGCACCGTCACCACCAGGAACCCATGCAATACTAGTACAACGGCTGTTGAAAACAGCTATTAATCAAGCTACTCCACGAAAGTCAGAGTCACAATGCTCTCAAATGATGCCCATCGAGGAAACGACACACAAGCTAAAAATCAGTACAAATGCACAATACTCTAAGTTACAGGGATTCATCAGTTCAGTTAGACCCCAGATCATAGGATACAGGGATGTAAGCTACTGTTTTATAAACAAAAGATCGAAAATGTACAATAAGGCATCAAAAGGGCCTCAGCCAAGCATCTACTAGAACACTCTTGAAACCAAAAGATCCAGAATCCACATTGGACTTCTGAAATTAGCCGAAGTGAGAGTAAGAAATCAGTCCTTGCAAGAGTGATGAAACAAGAGAGTACCCACCAACTTGCATGTAGAGAGAAAATTATACTGGTCAATGTGAAGCCTACCAAACCAGAAATAGGCTAAGATCCACAGCCACTTATATGCTCTATTTTCCTTTTTGGATAGTTAAGCAACCTTCTAATCTCTACAGAAGCCAACTTAAAAATTCAAATATATCAAGCTGCACTGTATCAATGAACAAATTGTAGGTAGCTCTGCAGCTTATTCTAAACAATTCGACAATACAGAAACAACCATTACGTTCAAACCTTCTATAAAGAATGTATTTAATCTACTTCTAGTTTCATGCAGTTTTTGAAATGTATAATCCTTTTAAAGTAGATAAGCTAAAAATGGGTAAAACTTTTACAGTTGTATTAATATTCATCAAATCATTAAAATATGAGAGAGTTAATCTTACCTGTTACTAACAGAGCCATCTTTATTATAATGCTGAGCACCTACAAGCTTCTTTCCAACATCCTGCAATTGCTGTCTCAGTGACACTGAGTAGACTACAAAGATAAACATACAACCATTCAAGATATTTGAACTTCATACCAAATAAAATAAAAAGAGTGTGATTTCAAATGCAAGCAAACATTTGTACCATCACCGGAACTCAACCCAATAATCAAATCATGACCATCCTTTGCGTCTTGATCAAATGCGTGGCAGACAGGGTTTGAATTACTGAAATGTATAGACTTTATTGGATCCTGCATGCACAAGAAACCTATCATAAACCAATACCAGTGCCTAAACCTACAAAATCATTCCTAAAATACCTTGTCTTGAGAATTTAAATCACTGATGAAGATCGCATCCCCCACATTGAAGATCAAGTAAGTCCCCTTCCCATCAAAGTTCGAAGTAGATGTTGAAGTATTCGAACTGGAAGCCACCAAAGACCCAACTCTACTACTCGCACTGACACTCTTACTCCCTCCATTCCCTCCAGCAAAACTAAGCGCCCGGCTCCCATTAGCACCACCCAAAAACCGTGCTGCAGCCGAACGTACGCCACTGCCAGTGCTGAAGCTCGAAGATGGCGCAGTCGGGGTTGATGGAGCAGGCTTGTCCTTAAGTTGTGCTAGTATTGCCTGATAATCAACAACCCAGAAGGCTTTTAATTTATATACCGTAATATGGAAATGACGAAAACATTTGAAGATTAAATGTTGAAGTAGGATAAATGATTTCGAATACTGGCTCTTGAAGCACCTCACATATCCAGCATTCAACATTTCTTTGAACAATTAACTTCAAAAATTACACACTACAAGCAAAACCCAGAAAATTAAATTCCAATCTTCAATGTTCTGCCACATGCTTCTTTAACCACTGGCAAAAACCCTAAACAATCTCCATTACCAAAAACAGAAAAGCTCACAGCTTTCCAAAAAAACCCCCAAAAATGGCTACCCAAAAAAGCAAGATTCCCAAAAAGGGGAACGAAGGAAATTAATGGCGGAAAATCCAGTGCACCTGAGTGACGGTTTTGCCATGGGCGAAGTGAAGGAGGCCCGAAGGGTGCGTCTTCTCGTAGTGAAGCTTGTACTTCCCCTCAGGGGTTTTGAAATAGGTCTTGAGGCCCGGCGACTGAGCGTTGCTAGACGAAGTCGTTTGCATCATACCGTTGGCCGTGTTGATCATGGTCTCGTCGTCCGCGATTAGAGTACCCCTGGGAGCATACGATCATGACCCCTCCTAGGGTTTGAAATGCTCTAACATTTTGGTTGTTCTTGGTTCGAAATTGATAGGAGAAACGTGGGTTTTGCTTTGTTTTTGCGTTATCGTGCTCTCGCGGGGGCTTCAATGGCTTCCGGATCAAATGGCTTGGACTGTCTGGTTTGTGGCTTATGGGAGAAGTGTCTGTTGGTAAATTTTTTAGGGTGAAGATTTGATTTGTGCTACCAGTCAATGGAGTGAATGGCTAGGATCCTAGTAACTTTATTTTGGAGGGCATGTAAATGTTTAAAAAAAAAAAAAAATAGCCTGATTTGTGGTATCACGCTGGCCAAGTGTAGCCCCCTCTTATGTTTTTTTTTTTTAGCCGAGCTCCTCAGTTTCAGTAATTTATTCAAATTCAATAACTAGATTTGAAAATATCCAAATTAGTTTGATTAAATTAACTAATAAATTTAAGGCACAAACCTAAAACTAATAAATTATTGAAAGGGCTATGTTTAGTCTTTCAGTTGAAGATGGTATATAAGTATGGTCTGACACTGTTTATTTAAAAATATTTTTTTGTATGGCTATAATTTTGGACGAGATTATAAATTAACCATTTCAGTTCGAGATTGTCTAAGGGGGAGGGAGTGGGCTTAACCTCACAATGGGCTAACAATAATGTGGTTCAAATTCTTTTTTTGACGAGATTCAAACATAAGATCTCTCACTCACAAATGAAGAGAAATATCATTAGACTGTAGTACTGGATAGTGAGAGTTTGATGAAGCAGCAAATACAGGAGGAGATTGGATTTGATGATTCAACTGGGGAAAGAGGTTGGCTTTGTTCACTTTGGGGCTTTCCTTGGTGAAAAGAAAAAAAAGAAAAAAACAAAATTGGGACTTCAAACAATCTATGGAACAGATTTCTAAGTCAGCTAAGGGCAATTTCCTTTTCACTTGAGACCCCAGAGTTCAAATCCTCGTCCTCTGATATCGCTTGTATAAAATCAATTAATTTAACTTGTGCCATACATAGTAAAATTATAATTTTGAGATATTTATTGACATCTTAGTATTCGAGTTTTATATTTTATTAAAAAAAAATTGTCGTTCACAATGTGAGGTTTGTAAATTTTTTATGGCATTCAAACAAAAAAAAAAAAAAAAAAAAACTCTTTTTCTGTATAGAAATACACCAATAAATTTGGTTACAATACTATATCAACATTAAGTTGTATATAAACTGCAACTTAACGTTTTTTATTGTTATCTTAGTATTCAAGCGTCAGACTTTATTAAAAGTTTGTAATTAGTTCTAAATTTATCTTTAATTTAATCAATACAATGGAAAAACCAACTAGTTCTCTTCTCAATCTTGAAAGAAGTCACAACTTCGAATTTCCGACTTCTTAATAAAGAATTCAATGAGAAGAGGGAATTATTGACAAAAAATGAAAAGAAGTAAAAAACAATTCCTTTTTAATAAGTAAGGATATCAAACATGAAATGCAAGTGTCACATTATTTGAAGAGAGTGTAATATTTTTCATTCTATTTTAAAATATATTTTAGGTTTACGTCACTTGCATCTATTTTTTGGAAACTATGGATGATTTTTTTTCGATAATTCTAGTATTATTGTATGATTAAAACTTTGGAAAATATTAAAGTCTAGAATTATTGTCAGAAGAAATGGATGTATTAGGACCGCTGCAGAAGTGGATGCAAGTGCACCTGCATCATGCTTGGATGGTATGTCTCTCTTGGGTTTTGGAAATAAATAAAGATCAAAGTTGAGGTTCACATTGTGGATCTGATGTCATTTTTATGTCTTCTTTATGTTTTTGTAATTTTTTGACACGCGCCTCTTAGTTTTTAGTTTTTTTTTTTTTTTGTTAAACGATAGATCTTGTTAGATTAGTAACTGGTGCGGTTCAAACTCACACCGTCATGTAAAAGCTCAACTCCTTTCCATCCGAGTTAGGGTTTCTAGATTTTTTTCTCTCTATAAATATAGCTTATGGTTTAGTATGAAGAACAAGTTATTCATAATGTACTCTCTTGAGTTATGTAGCTGTTATGACTATCTTCTTTCAGTTAATGATTTATTAGTTTGTTATTCTTCGTATGTTCGATTATCTGATATTCAACTATTGGATGGCTGTTTGATGCTTGTTTCCTTTAACTTTAATTTTTTTATTAATTTATATAACGTTTAACACTGTTAGATATAGAGTTAAGTTGAGAGACACATGTCAATAACTAGAAAAGAGACACAAATATGGGGACGTCAGATTTGCTACCATCTCCAAGTAGAGAGATTTTAGTGTACAATAATCAGATCAAGTGGATTGTCTAATTCACTCACAAAAGTAAGAGTACTTGTATGAGACTAATGTGGCATCTAAATACAAAGACTTGGCACTTTGTGACTTTGTGATAAGTTAAACAGCCAATGCGATCCGAATGTTGCACACAAGAATTTTTCCTCGAAATAGAATTAGTCTACTTTTTAACAAAAGACTTCACATGGATCTTGTGGTCTATCTGGGTCAATTTCCAAAAGAAACAAGAAGCTTAACAAGAGAGGGAGGGAGGGAGGGAGGGAGGGAGGGAGGGGAGGGGAGGAGGGAGGGAGGGAGGGAGGGGGGAGGGAGGGAGAGCAAGTTTTCATTACCTAAAAAACAACAAAGAGAAGATTGATAGGCTTTTTGGATTGATAATATTGGGCATTGCCTTGATATATCAAGCTCACATGAAAGATTAACAAGGTTGGCCCAATTTATTCTAAAATTTGAAGAAGGTTGGATTTCTAGCCCACTTGTGGATACCATATTACACAACGTTGCATTTGGATTTGAGAAATTTTTTATTTTATAAAATTAATAACCCATTGGTGGTTATTGGATCTGTAATTTGGAATTAAAAAGATGTAAATCATTATAAATGGTTGAAATTGCCCGCTCAACTGTTTTTCATTTGTTTGCTTAACGAAGAACACTAAAATTTCCAAAGGGCCATGTTAAACATGAAAAGTAGTAATTATAATGATGTGCTAAGACTAATCTCAAAAAGGCATGGTTGGAGTTCCAAATTCTAGATTTGCACTTTTTTAGTTTGTTAATTAAAGTTTCACATGTAATGCTACCATGAAAATTTCATAATCAAATGCTAGATTTCAGGGGTTGTTATCGACACTTCAAAATAGTCATCATATACATTTTTTCTCAATAAAAAAGAAAAATAAAATGGCTGTTGACTATTTTAAAGCGTTAATAATAGTTTCCGAGGGTTATTGTTAGTCTTAGCATTGATTTGTTTGTGGTAGTGACACTTCCCCTTCCTTCTTTGAATGCCATATCAATTTCAAGGGTGACCAAGAATCAAAGAACGCCAGAAATTGGTCCCATCCTAACTGCTTGCAATGAAAATACTTTAACTGCAAGCTTTCTTCTTTGAAGTTGGACCAAAACAGAAGCAAAAAAAACCCCATCATTCTCCCTCACTTATACGTAACCCCACTCCCTTCATTCACATTTCCAGCTATTTTTCCTCCCCTGCCAAGCAAAATCTCTCTCTCTCTCTCTCTCTCTCTCTCCATATTTCACTATTCCTCTTAGTTGCCAAGAAAAAGATGCACATTCTGTTCAGATGGCATTGTCAAACCACCTCCTTTCACCTAATTCTCCACTCTCATTTGATCACACCCTCAAAATATATACCCTCTTATCTCCCTAACTTATACACCAAAACCAAGTCACAACATATATAAAAAAAAAAAATCACCAAGGAAAAAAAAAAGAGGAAGAAAAAAGATGGCACCCCAATCTTTCTTCATTTTGCTAGTCTTGTTTCTCCATTCGTTCTCATCCACTATTTCAGCTCAGTCTCCGGCAGCAGCCCCCACGCCATCAGCCACCAACGTGACTGCCGTCCTCGAGAAGGCAGGCCAATTCACCACCTTGATCAAGCTCCTCAAATCCACCAAGATGGCTGACCAAATCAACACCCAGCTCAGCACCTCAAACCAAGGCATGACCCTCTTTGCACCAACTGACAACGCCTTCTCCAGCCTCAAGGCCGGCACGCTAAACTCCATCTCCGAGCAGCAAAAGCTGCAGCTTGTGCAGTTCCATGTGCTACCATCTTTCTATTCTGCTGCGCAATTCCAAACCGTGTCCAACCCTCTGCATACGCAGGCCGGGAACACCGATGATGGGCAGTTCCCGTTAAATGTGACCACATCTGGGAACCAAGTGAACATAACAACAGGGGTGGTGAATGCAGCCGTGGCTAATACCATTTTTACTGATAGTCAGTTGGCGGTGTATCAGGTCGACCAGGTGCTCCTTCCTTTGAGCATTTTTGGCACTCCAGCACCCGCTCCTGCTCCATCGAAGCCCGAAACAAAAATTAAAGGTGCTGATTCGCCTTCGGGATCCTCGGATAGCGGCAGCACTGCTGAAGCATCATCTGCAATGGGGGTAGAACAACATGGGATCGCAGCAGCTGCATCAGTGGGGGTGGTAGCAATTCTTGCAGCATTCTTTTTGTGATTTTCGAGTTGAACTGCTGTGATCATCTGTACCTTTTGTTTTGTTTTTGTTTTATGCCTTCTGTGCCAAGAAATTTTGTAATTTGTTATGATTTGAAATTAATTGGACAATGTTCTTTGGAATAACCTCTTCCTCTCAACACTGGTATAACTTACGCAGTAAAACTGTTTTAACTAGAAGGCTTATTTACGGTAACACTTCTTAAAACTTAAACTCAGTCTTGCTTAACGCGTAAAACTGAAATATATGCCACTTAATTCCCAAAAATTGCTCTAATAATTTTTACGTCACCATCAAATAGTCACGTGCGTTATCATTCACTCATTTTTATTGTAATTTATCCATGCCACATCAATCCTTATGACGCCAATTACACTAAGAATTTGTCTTACCGTAGGAGCTAATTTTCACACACGCAACAATACATTTACTAACGTAATTTTATATCATAAAAAATACAAGTGCTAAAATTGATACAGTAAAATGATTTGCAATCGACCAAAAATAAAAGAATAATTAAAAAAATTTACTAATCATATCTGATAATACAGTTTAATGAACGAACATATTTCTGTTGTTATTAAAAAAAAATCACTAGAAGGATTCACCTCCTAAAAAGAACCATGCAGAGTCTGATGAGAAACCATTATCGAAAGGGTACATGGCAAAATATACAGAAATGGTCTCATCAAATTTCGTTTCATCAACTAATATAAGTTCTAAACTCCTGATGTTTCGGAGTAGCAACGCTCAATGGACGAAAAATCCATGTAAAACCTATCAAACCTTTTGGGGTGGCCGTAAAATATCTCACTGAAAAGCTGTCAGCGATTAGTAAAACTGCTCTGGGGGCTCCTTTGGAATGGCACAGCCGTTTATCTCTTGTGCAAGCATGAGAAGAGAAGGAGCGCGTTTTTGAGGGGCAATCAAAACTGGAAGTCAAATCCACCACCGCCACCGCCAGGAAAGCCCCCTTCGAAAGTGAAAGTAAATTGCTGTCCACCACCACCACCACCACCACCAAAAGGGTTAAAACCGCTGCCACCACCACCCATTCCCATTTCTTCAATATCTTCACCTCTATCATATCTCGTACGTTTGTCTTCATCACCAAGAACCTGAAAAAGGATTTATACAAGAGTCAGATGGGTACGAGTAGTCCAACATTTTGGATTATTATTATTATTATTTTTTTTTTACAGCAGAGAGTCAATAGAAAGGGAAGGTTAAAATGAGCTTCAGTGGGATCTACAGACCTCGTATGCAGCAGCAATTTCTCTGAACTTGTCCTCTGCTTCTTGTCTGTTCTCGACATTTTTATCCGGATGCCACTGCAAAGCGAGCTTCTTGTAGGCACGTTTAATCTCAGATATAGATGTGGTCTTTGAAACTCCCAAAATCTTGTACCAGTCTTTGCGTTTGCTCATCTTTAAGGCTTTCTCGGCTCTCATCAATGCTTCTCGAATATTCATATCCTGCATAATAAGCAAGCAATTAATCCAAGAAATTACTCATTAAAACAGTAGCTGCAACAGTGTGAGAGGGGCATATTACATAAATTTCATATTATAGACGTAAAACATAATGGCTAACCTGAGGCGATTGTTGAGCTGCTGATTTGAGATCTTCCACAGCTCCCTCCCAATCCTCTGTCAGAAGTTTAGCTTCCCCCCTCTGTAAACACAAAATAGTAAACAAACTTGAGCACAGTCATACTCAATACATCACAGTTCACAAAATACTAAACAAACGAGTAATTTTTAAACAATACAGTAACAAAAAATACTATGGAACTGAGGAAAACAAAGGACAATAGAAGCACTAGCTAACCTGAACCAAAGCTTCTAGAAGTTCCTCATCAATTGTAAGTGCTTCATTGCAACTGCTTAAAGCATCCTTTCCCCTGCCAAGCTTGACCAAAACTTTACACAAGCCAAGATGAAGATGTACATTATGTGCAAGATGATTAGGGTCCAACGCTAAGGCTGCCTTAAAGTCCTCTACTGCAACACGCAGCTTGCCCTTATTTACATTATCTTCGGCCTGCATAAAGAAAAATTGTCTGAGAGAGAATACCACACAATGCATCATATGGTGATGGTTCACATAAACTCTAAAAAGAGGTTGAGTAAGAAAATAGATTCGCTATTATTGCTGAACTTCTCACCATTCCACACCCCTCAGGGAAGAGGAAGAAGAAAGTTAGCACAAACAATCATTCAGACGAAGTTCGTTAGGACTTACACTTTTAGTCTTCTTGAGTAAGTTTTTCAGTCCAAAATACGCTTTCTTCAGTTCACCATGCTCTGGATCTAGACGGAGACCCTTTTGGTAATGCCTAAAAAAAATATTATATATTTGTTTATACAACTGTAGCCAAATTATAAAGACATTACTCAAAATAAAAAGGTGCCAATCAAACCTTTGGGCAACATCATGATCAGCCAAATAGTAGTAGGCACGGCCGCGAAGTAAAAATGCATCCAGATTATCCTCATCTTTCAGAATGTAACCAGCCTCAGAAATGACACTAGAATAATCTTTAGTTGCTAGCAACAATCTCACCTTCAATAATTTGGCCTGCAACAAACAATGCACTCAGAATTATGAGGTCACAAGAATACTGAATTTATAAAATCCTCAATCCTAACTCTCTAAGATCAACCAAAGAGCTGTTTGGTTATATGACAATAAATACATGAAATTGCAATTAAATAATTAACAACCAATATAAAAAAGAAATGGATGTGATTACCTTTGGGCATGCTGGAGAGAAAACCAATACAACTTTTTCAACATATTCCAAAGATTTTGCATAGTCGCCTGTTTCAAAGAGAGTCACAGCCGTATCTAGAGCGTTCTGAGCCTGAATCAATTGAGAAAGCTCCTTTTCTACAACTGAATCTTGTGGTTTTAGCTCCAAAAACTTTTTGTAGCTCTTCTCAGATTCCTCATATCTACATCAGCCAAAAAGCGCCTGAATCATATAAGTTTCCAATCATTAATTGGAAAGACAAGGGAGATGGGGATTTCTAGAGACCTTTAGAAAACTTAAGAATACAAGCTATATAAGTTATGATAAGTTCTCTTTTATCACAATGTCTGTCTCAACATACACCTACTGAAAGAATAAGGGGGTACTTATTGAATAAACCACCGAGTAAAGGCCAAACAACAATTTTGGTCTAATCAGCAGTATCATAGCGGCTGACTAGTGGTAGGCTTGGTAGCCCAGTTGGATGGTGCATGAATGGATATCGACAATAATCAATGGTTCAGTTGCTTTTGGCTTTTGAGCACACACAGACACAGCTGATGTGCTGCATTCTAGAAGCTTTGAGACAACGGACCTTGGGACAACTAATTATGCAAAGTAGATCACAAAATGATAGCTGCTAGAGTGTGTGATCACAGCAACCATCAAAGAAAAGGGGTTTCCGTAATAAGAAGGAATAATAGCAGTTAGGGAAAAGGTGGAGGATTTGTTATGAACAAACTAGTACCACAAATAGTAATTGACAATGCCAAGAAGGGAGGTCCGACAGGAACACATAGTAGGGGAACCAAAAATATTCATGCATCAATGTATTTGACACAGTCAAAAGATAGCTGCTCAGTAACGTTCTAATTTTCTCTAAAACTTTAAATAGAAAATGACACATGCTGAAACAGTCTTCATCGAAACCAAAATTATTCTGTTAGAATGGTGATTATATAAAAAGTACCTGCATATCTGACGAAGAATGGATGCCCGATGATAATATGCTTCTGAAAGTGCTGGGTCCGCCTCTATAGCAGCATTAAGATCATTAAGTGCCTCGCTATAACGCTTCACCTTTATACTCTGTGAAACCCTCTCAAACAACTCAGCTGCATTACCCGGTTTTCCATCTGTACATTCAAGGTTCATGTTCTGTAAGCCATTATTAACACACCTCAACAAGCCACAGGTAGAACTCAACAAATTCACAACACAGCAGGCTAACAGGCATAACATCTCTGTCACTACAGTAAATCCAAACTACCATGCCAACTCCATACGACTCAACATTGTGTATGTATAAAGACAAGAGTTTACTCTAGAATCTCCATCTCCCAGTTTCATACTAAAACTATAGAGCATTCAGTCAACTTTCCCATTATACAAGAGTCGAATGGATGTAAAATTCATGAGTAGAATCGTAAAGTTATTGCCTTTTTCCACCAATATGATTACAATCTTCAAAATGCCAAAAAGAATTCATCTAAAACCTAAACATTCCTAATGTTGAACATGTAGCTGTATCACTCGTTCAAGTTTCAACCTTTATACACTTAATTAATGCAAATAGTACAAGGTTAGGTCCCATCCCATGTATTAAGATGATTCTTTGATTGACATAGTCCTATGAGTGCTGCAATCTAATTAAAGCCCAGAATACAACATTGTCAAACACAAAGCCGCCTCGCACTTTTCCTAGTACAATGGAAAGTGACAACCGACAGAGCCGTTGAAGAATCCAAACACAATAAATACAGCAGAATAGTTTGATGTCCGCTAAAGCCCAGAACACCAATAACTTAAAAACAGCCCAAAAGCAAGAATCTTTCAAATTTGGCGCAAAAGTTAAGACAACCCAACTGAGAAGAAAAACATGAAATTCAACAAAAATCAATAGATCAACGCACGAAGAAATAGATCAAAGAGTGAGAGAAACAACATACCCAGAGCTGAAACCAGAGGTTGAAGAAGGAGGAGCTGGCAGACGAACACGAAATGCAGTAAGAACCCAGCATATATCAGCCCTCTCCAAGCCACTATATCCATGGCGGATGAGCAACTCCAAACCATCACCCTCTCTCTTTCCCCTCCCTTTCTCTCACTAAAATTTCTATCGCTCAATTCTCGAGCAGAGTTTTGAGCGTAAATGTCTGCTAAGCGTATTTTTTGTGAAAAAAATGCTTAATACAAAAACATATAGAAATTGCAGAACTTTGCGTTTAATAGGAAGCTAGAGGAAGACGGGTGTATTCGTTCCACGTTACGATGACCTATCAGATAGCTCCACGTGTATTTTGAACAGACGTTGGCCTAGAGTTTTGTTGGCACCAATACCTGACTGCCAAGTCATAAGCGTAAATAGGGCTACTAAATTTATAGCTCTAGGGAAAAATTTCATTCCTAATAGGCCAAAAAGTGATGCTATATCCACTATATGGGTTAGCAATTTCATTTCTTGATAGCAAAAAATTAGACTATATTTAGTCCAAAAAAACAGTGGAATCCACACCAAATTGAGGGCCCAAGCTTGTTTTTTGTTTTTCTTTTCCCTTCCGTTTTTTAGTTTAAAAATGAGTGGGCCTCATTTCTAATTCCAAAGCATAATACTAAGGGTTTCTTTTTCAAACGTTGATTGTTTTAAGGATTTATCTTTCAGTCGTTTGTTTGATTAAGAAAACATAAACAAACAACGGTTATCTTTTGTGTATTAATGATTAAGAAAAAAATTTGTTATCTTTTGTGTGTTATGATTAAGAAAAAAATGTTGTACTTTGTGTTTAATTTTTTTGATTGAAAAGTTCATAAAAAAATGTGATGAAATTTAACATAGGTAGTCTAGAGACCTAAAACGAAAACATAAGCAAAAAACATACCTAATTGTAGGGGCATTACAATTTTGTTATTTGAAAGCTTACAAGCAAATGAACCTCAATTATAAAATCATTACTATGTAGTTACTTAAATACTACAAACATAAGACTTAGCCTCTCCGTGCATAAGATTGAGGTAAGAGAACCTAATCCAACGATTCATAAGTGATAACTTTGTCAGAATTCAAAATTTTTTAAGTTTAAAAATTCATAAGAAAAATTTAAGATAACACGTCTAAAAATCAATTTAAGGAAAGTTAAGACAAAAATAAATCTACCGTGTAATCAAATTACTACATAAATAAATATATAGCCCTACATAGAGCCCAAAAGGTATATAGCCCATCATTGTGAGAATTTTTTTTTTAGAGCTCCAAAGATTCCTCAGAGCTCTAAACTAGGCTATATCCACTGCCCTATATAGAGCCTCTCATTGGGAATGCTCTAAAGAATTGCAAGCTCGATCCACATACAAAATGACTGCAAAAGATTTGAACTCTTCTTCCAATGGAAAAACTTTGAATTTGAACAGAATCCACCTTTGACTATTTGCAATGGTTGGGTTAAATTGAGTTTTAAAACCCTCTCAAAGTTTTTTCAATCATTGGGCTAAAAAAATATACCATATCGTATTAAGAACCTGGCCCACCATTGCGCTTGCATGCGCTAGGAAAAAAATCAAGTCAGCACACTAACGCGCCTCACATTCATGCACGTGACAATACTGCAGCGAGTTGGAACCAAAGCTAATAGTTTTGTTGGCCACCAAACTGAGCCCAATGACTAGTTTTTCATCCGACGGCCCACATGATTGGATTGTTGGTTGATTCAAAGGTCCATATTCAAACTTATTTTTTAAATTTTAATTTAAAAATACATTAAATCCAACAGTTGGACTTGAATATGATCAAATCTAACGATAAAAAAAAAAGATCTAATGACCCAAAATTAAATCCAACGGCTAAAAATTCAAAAAACTATTTAGATTAACATTCACTAAAAAACTCTATAATACATATGTATTTATTCAAACATCTACACAAATACATAGTGTATGAGGAAAACTCATCCCTTCCAATTCACATCTCTGTAAATTTTGGAATAGCTGTCATCCCCCCAATTTTCCACCCATGAATTCTTTAATACCCAATAATCCTCATGAAAACTCATCTATCCCATAACCAACCACTTAAGCAGTATGCTGGTCCTTATATATTGGCTTATCAAACTCACAACCACCTTTAATTATGCCATCCTTGTAATCATTGATGATCCATTGCCAATTGAAAGAACAACTACGATGGGGTTTTGGGCCACAACCATGGTCATACACATTTCATCGTGAGGCAACTACTTCTAGCCAGTTATCCATCCTAGACATTGCCTATCGAACCACCTTTGCACCTAGTAGGATTTTTGCTGTAGTCTAAAACTTGTTGCTCGGACAGGTTGTAGTGGAAGTCTGTTCGACTACTATGAAACGCTTTTATTGCGTCCACAACAGCAAATGCCCAAGAATTGTTAGTATTTGTTAACTGAATTGAACTGTATTACTCTGTGTTTTGTGCAAATTAAATGAAAGAAAATTGAGTTTGCTATATGTGCTTGAGGAAGAAGAAGATGGAGTTTATAGCTCATATTCTATTCGTTCACAACTTTAAGCATTCATACTGAGATACTGAGATCTGAAACAAAACAAAAGGACATGACCGTTGGAGCTACACAGGCTCCACACGAGTCAAGCATCCAAAGTGATCTCATGTGCACATCACACTTTCACTTAAACAAACACAGTTAATATGATAATTGAAAAAAATACAAGCCATTATCTTAGTCTTACAATGCAATTAGAACTAAATCTTTAAAACAAAAAAGAAAAGAAAAGAAAATGAAGAGCATATTGCAGAAACTTGAGCTTGGTTAATCTGAAACAAGCTTACATTTCAACACTCCATTCTAAGTTTGCTATAGATTCCCCCCCCCCCCCAATAAGCTTCTCAAGTAATAAAAATTATCTTTAGGCAACAAACCTTGGTAAAAATATCAGCTAATTGCTCATCTGATTTGTAGTAAATCAACTCAATTATGGTCTCATGCAATGCATTTTTGATGTAGTGATATATGTGGTTGATATGTTTTGATCTTTAGTGAAAGACTAGATTTCTTGTCATCGTGATTGCAGAGATTTTATCATGCATCAATTTGTATTTGACCAAAATCTTCAAGCACAAATCTAAGCTAAACTACATAACTTGTAGCCTCTGAAGCATTGACATACTCAACTTCAGCAGTTGACAATGCAACAATGTGTTGCTTCATTGATGCCCATGAAAAGATGTCACTATCACGTCATTTTAATCACCTCCCAATCACTATCACAATAGCCAACTAAAAAAATTGTAGATTTTCCATTCACATACTCAATTTCAAAATCAAGAGTTCATTGGATGTATTTGAGTACTCTCTTTGCAGTTTCAAAGTGCTTCTTGATTGGATTGTGCATGAATCTTGATAATAACCTGGTAACAAATATAATATCATGCCTTGCTGTTGTCAAATATAGTCAGTTTCCCACAATTTGGCTATAAATAACTTTATATGCAGGCTCACTACCATCATCATTCTTTAGCTTGTCATTCACCACAAGAGGAATGCTCACATGCTCACAATCTTTCAAGCCAAACTTCTTTAGTAGAGCTGGAGCATATTTCTTCTGATTAATGAAAATCTTATTCTTAGATTATAGTATCCAAGTCCCATAAAGTAGATATAGAAGTCCAAGGTCTATTATTTCATATTTCACCATCATGTCATATTTAAATTCAATGATCAACTTCATACTGCTACCAGTGTACACTATGTCATCAACATAAACGAAGACAATAAGTAATTATCCTCCTTATTTGTTCTTGATATACAAAGTATCTTCACAATGACTTCTCTGAAAGCCACATTCAAGTAGATAAGAGTTAATTTCCTCATACCAAACTCTTGGAGCTTGTTTCAGTACATAAAGACCCTTATGAGCTTATATACTTTGATCCACATATGCTTTTTTATTTAGCACTCTATTCAAGAAATCTGATTTTACATCAAGTTGATATAATTTCCAACTTTTTTTAGGCTATAAGTGCAATGAGAGTCCTTATAGTGTCCAGTCTTGCAATTAGAGCAAATGTCTCATTGTAGTCTACTTCAGGCTTCTGAGGATATTCATTAGCAACCAATTTAGTTGTGTGATTTTGTATAGTGCCATCTAAGCTTAATTTTGTCTTCAACACCCATTTGACCCCAACAATTGGTTTACCTGTTGGTCTATCAACAAACTCCTATATCTGATTGTTCTCAATCATTTCAATTTCTGCATTCATGACTTTTTTCCAATCTTCGTCAGCAGTAACTTTTTCATATCTCTTAGATGCTGAGATGCATTCAGCGTACACATCACTCTGTGATTTTAACTTCACAAGAATGGTACTTGCAGAACTTGATTCTCTAATCTCAGTCATAGAAACTTGAAACATTATTCTCTAAGAGTTACTATCTTCTAACTGTGCAGATCCTGCAATCACATTCACCTTAATATTTTCAAATTCATTGAAATTCTCATTTAACTGTAAGTTCCCTTGACACTTCATTCTCAGCTATCCAGCTTCATATTGCATTTTCATCAAATAATACACTTCTAGAAAGTATAATCTTCTTTGTCCCAGGAATGAACACCCTATAGCCATTTTTTGTCTTTCCATATCCAATAAAATCCCCTTGATTGAAGCTTCATCTAACTTGTATCTCAATTGTCCAAAAATAGAAATGTGACTGTAACACACATATCCAAAGACTTTGGGACTTCATGCTTCATTCCATTGAATGCTTCAAACTGAGTTTTATCTTTCATTACCTTGGCAGAACATTTATTAAGCAAACAAATTGTTGTGTTGACAACTTTACCCCAAAGGTAGAAGGGCAACTTCTACTCATGTTACATGTTATTTGTCATCTCAACCATAGTTATGTTGTTCCTCTCTGCAACCCCATTTTGATGTAGAGAGTAGACAATAGTACAAGACTAGTGTTTTCACAGAAAGTGAGAAATTTAGTTGAAGTGTACTCTCTTTCTCTATCACTTCTCACTTTCTTGATTGGATAACCAGACTGTCATTCTACCATACTTTTGAACCTCTTGAATACTCCAAACAATTCTGACTTAAAGGTTAAGAACCAACTTATTCTAGTAGAATCATCTATGAATGCGAGAAAATATCTATTGCCTCCATTATAGTCACATGCATTGGTCCACACACATCAAAGTAT